AGAAACCCCACTTTGTTTTTTATGTTGCACATTGAGTTATTATCAAGGTTGAGAGGAATTTTGAATCTAGAGTGAGCTGTTCTCCCTCTAGGCATATTATTGGCAGCAACACCCGACGAAGCGGTTGTGAGTGCAATAAGACCATGTAAACGGATGTTGGAAAGAAAAGCTTTGTACACAAATATCTTCGTAGTTTCACCCGGACCATCTATAAAGAACACTCCTGGACAATCCTCGTCTACGTGCCTCATGATCTCATCATATGCATATTTCTGGTCGGAATTGAGAGAGTCTCGGGCATACAAGTATTCATCTTCCACAACTATAGAGCATTCCTCTTATACCTCACAAAATTCTCCAGATTAAAAATTGGCATTTGTACCTACCATTAGAAGATCGAAATCATTAAGACTCTTACCCATAAACTGTAGAAAAACGAGGATATCAGTTAGAACCATATTACGGACTCGATTAGCACTTTCACATTGTCGCGTATAATCTTTAGAAAGTGAATCCTAGTGGTCATCCCATAACTTGCAAACATATCCTGGGTCACAATAAATCAACATCGTGGCAAATAACCTCCTAAGAGCAGCCATAAATTGAAATAAGGAGGCCTCTCCAAGACAATGGGATAAGTTGTCATCGTTCTCTATTAACCCTAGAACAGATCAATCATCAACAATAGGCATCAGAAAACTCCCTATGAACTCATCAATCAGCGGTGTCCAAATATCAAATATTTCAATGTCTTTGGGTGCAAATGTTATGTACTCAACGATAGAGAACATCTTGGAAAATTTGACAAGAAGGCTGATGAGGACATATTCCTGGGATATCCTTAAACCGCAAAAGCCTACAGAGTCTCAGCAAGCGGACCTAAATTGTTATAGAAAGCATCAATGTGTCCTTTGATAATGCATCACAAATGACTTTTGTCCATTGGTTAAGGGAACCGGAATTAATTCTAATTCCCACATGATGAAAAAAAGTAAAAGGTCCCCTTTTTTCGTAGCAGAAGTATTTACGGGTTCTCCGGGAAAATATTTGGATAACACAGTTCAGAACTCGAGCTAACTAAATAAGCCTCTGATTCATCTCTCCACAAACCAAATGAATCAGAACTAGCTCAACTGTTTGAGGACTTGTTTGAAGAAGATGCAGTCTCTGGACCGCTGACCAATGAAAAACTAACTCCTAGAGCTGATGAACTACATGAGATCTCCAACACAGAAGGCATAACTCTTTTTGAATCTCATGTTACTTCACCATCTACTTCCATTATGTCTCTAGAACCAGAGCACGAATTTGGAGAAGATCTATTTAAGGGGGAGCAAGCAGTTCCATCTAACAATACCATCAATGAAGAACTGCATCATGTTGCTCAAGAACCCTAATTAAGCACTAAGTGGACAAAAGATCATCCTCATCACCAAATTATCGGTGATCCATCGTCTGGTGTTAAAACAAGATCTACCACTGCTAATGAATGCCTCTTCGCAAACTTCCTAAGCATGATCGAACCAATGAAAATCTATGAATTTTTACAAGATCCAAACAGGATAGACGCAATGCAAGAAGAATTACTCCAATTTGAGAGGAACAAAGTTTGGTCTCTCATGCTGCTACCCAAAGGTAAAACCACAATTGGGACCAAATGGGTCTTTAGAAATAAGAAAGACGAAGATGACATAGTTATCCGGAACAAGGCCAGGCTGGTCGCAAAGGGCTATTGCCAGGAAGAAGGAATAGACCATGACGAGACCTTCGCCCCCGTTGCTAGGCTTGAAGCTATCAGAATATTTTTAGCCTATGCAGCGCACAAAGGCTTCAAGGCTTATCAAATGGATGTCAAGTCTGCCTTTCTAAATGGAAAATTGCGAGAAGAAGTCTATGTTCAACAACCTTCTGGTTTTGAAGACTTGAAACATCCAAAGTATGTCTACTTTCTGAATAAAGCTCTATATGGGCTCAAACAAGCACTCATGGCCTGGTATGAAACTCTCTCCACTTTTCTTACAGCCAATGGATTTGAAAAAGGTACTATCGACACAACACTCTTTCTCAAAAGACACAAAGGTGATATTTTGTCTGTCCAAATATATGTGGACGCAATTATATTTGGCTCAACTAACTCCAAATTTTGTGAAAAATTCTCAGACCTGATGAAAAGCAAATTTGAGATGAGTATGATGGGAGAACTAAGTTTCTTTCCGGGTCTTCAAATAAAACAAACTTTAGAAGGAATTTTCATCAATCAGTCCAAATATATGACTGACCTTCTAAAGTAATATAATCTCTCAAATCCATCATCTATGAGAACTCCAATGGCTACAGGAGCTAAGCTATTCTCTGATCCATCAGGCAAGGTTGTAGATGTAACAACCTACAAAGGCATGATTGGGTCCCTTTTGTACCTCACAGCTAGTAGGCCAGTTATAACGTTTGCTACGTGTCTTTGTACAAGATATCAAGCAAATTCTAAAGAATCTCATCTTTCTGCAGTCAAGAGGATCTTTAGATACCTAAAGGACACCCCATGGATGGGTCTCTGGTATCCAAAGAACTCTGGCTTTGAACTAGTAGCCTATATAGATGCAGATCATGCAGGTTGCAAGCTTGATAGAAAGAGTACGTCTGGGAGCTGTCAACTCTTGGGAGACAAGCTAGTTAGTTGGACATCCAGAAAACAAAATTATGTCTCAACAACTACAGCAGAAGCAGAATATGTTGCTGCTGCTAGTTGTTGTTCACAAGTGCTCTGAATGAAAATCCAACTAAAGGATTACGGGTTCCATTATGAGAAAATCCCCATCCTTTGTGACTCCAAAAGTGCAATAACAATCTATGCAAATCCAGTGCAACACTCCAAGACAAAGCACATTGATGTCAGGTACCATTTTCTTAAAGACCATGTAGAAAAGAGAACCATAGAGATGTATTTTGTTCCCACAAATATTCAACTTGCTGATTTATTTACGAAAGCATTAGATGAGAAAAGATTTCTTTCTCTTGTCAGCAAGATGTGTATGTTGAATCTCACCACTTAAGGCAGATCATCCATCAAGCCAAAGATTTTCCATATCTCTAGGTTTTGCCAAAAGTGATACATAAATGGCCCTTGTTACCAAGTTTTTTAAACCAGAGCCTCTGGAAAATTGGAAATACATATTTTATTTGGCCTAACATTTTTCTCTTTGGAACCAGAGCCCCTCTGGTCTAAAGAAGGTTTTTTGTTTTAACACCATCTCTTAATGACCAGAGCCTCTGGTTCTTAAGACTAGAGCCTCTGGATTCAAAGTATTAAGGAACAGAACCCTTTTGGTCCTACTTGGTCACCACACTTATCATTTCCCCTTGCATCACACTTAAATTCTTCACCATCTTATGCAACCAGAGCTTTTGTTTCTTTAAACTAGGGCCTCTGGATCACAAGTCTTTGGAACCAGAGCCCTTCTGGTCTAATAGACTTCTCCATACAAGTCTTCAATAGATAATTCATCACCTTATTACAACTAGATTCCCTCTGGTTGTACTATGCTTTCCTTCTCTTGGTTGATTCAAAGGACTCATGGTTTCACCATCTTTTTGGTGTCTTTTTATAAGATCAGAGCCTCTAGTTTTCCATTCCTATTGGGCCAGATACCCTCTGGTTCTATGGTTCAACCCCCTTTTCACCAAGTTTTCATCTATTTAACCCTCCTTCACAACCAGAGCCTCTGGTTGTATAGATCCAGAGCTTCTGGCTTCCAAAAATACACCCCTCTCTGTTCTAGGGGGTTTTTTTCACCCTCTCCCAATCCCTTGCATATTTTGAGGGGGAGTTCTTGCACAACTCTTGACCTCTTAAGGATCAAAAGTAACCTAGCACCCCTCTGGTTGACCTTCACTATCAACCAGAGTCCCTCTGGTTTGCTATCTTGATTTTTTAATTAACATTAATACCAACCAGAGCCTCTGGTTTGTCTAACTAGAGTCTCTGGACCCTTTGTATGCTATACTTTGATTAAATTGACCTTTATGCTCAACCAGAGCCCCTCTATTATATCGTCTAGACAAACCAGAGCCCCTCTGGTTCCTCTACTAGGGTCTACTTTTTCATGGGTTTAAAAGATTATCTAGAGCCTCTGGTCTATCTATCCAGAGCCCTTGTCTCATCAAAACCCACATTTGAATGCTCAACTACTTATCATGCAAAACTAGACCCCCTCTAGTCCCCCCCCAATAATCATGCCCAACCAGAGCCCCTTTGGTTCCATGGTTACAAACGTTTTCACCAAAAACCCATCTTTAATTGCAAATCTTTTCAAGATTATGTAAAATTGCAGCTTTTGTGACTAAAAACTATACAACATGGGTTTTTAGAAGACCAAAACTTCGTAATTTGTATTTATCTTATAAGTAAATGGAATTTTAATTTTTTTTAGTATATCTTCATAATTCTTTTAAGAATTATCCGCTTGGGATTATTATTTTAAATGATTATCATTTTAAATCCCAAACGTCACCCCTAAATAGTCGCCTGACAAAACCGCCTCTTCCCTATAAACCTTTCCATATTACCAACTCAATCAACCCCATGTTGCCATGTGTCCCACCCAATACAAGGAAAAAGGGCTTTAGAGAAGAAATTTTTAGAGAAGATTTTTAAAATGTATCTAAAGATATATTGTAGAGAAGAAAATAAATGACAAAAGTGGAAAATATAACTAAAGCTAAGATGAGTTTTAGAGAATAATTTCAAACTAAATTATACATCATCAAAATTGTCTCTAAAAGCTTTGGATACGTTTTTTTAATGAAAAGTTTCTAATAAAATATTAGGAGGGGCTTTAGGGACGCTTTTTTTTTTAAATAAAACCTTCTCTAAAATCTTTGTTTTAATTATTTATCAATTTTATTAGAAAAATAATTTTTTATAACCATCGCTCACATCCCATCTCTCGACTCTATCTCTCTCTCTCTCTCTCTTTCCCCGTCGCCTTCGTCTCTACCGATTTCGCCGTCGCCTTCATCAAATTCTCTACCTATTTCGCCATCGCCTCCATCGATTTCTCAGCCGAGGTCCCGTCGTCGTGTCTCCATCATGATTTTTCTCAATTTGGTTTCGTTTATATACATAAATCAGGTATGTATTCTGCCCTAATCTGGTTCTGTTTTTCTCGCATAAGCATAACCTGCTTCTTCATGGTCTGATTCTCCATTCGGTTAGTCATTTCATGTATTTGTTGTTAGGTTGAATGCATTTCATAAGGTGAGCATATTTAGGTTTAAAGTGTCTATAGCATCCGATTGGAATTGGAAAATTCACTTACAGAACCATCCCCTTCCCAATCCCAATCCCAATCCCAATCCCAATCCTATCTGCTTTATTGGTTGTAGTGGTAGCAGTTTGTTTATACTTATTACTATATTTTTTTAATAGCTAACACAATTTGTGAGTTTCCTTTGATTATTAGACGGGATTTTACTTTAAGGGTTCTGGTGGCGGGATTGCTTATAATAAACAAGAATGTGAGGGAATTTGAGGGAATTTGAGGCAATTTGCAAGTCTGGGCTGGCAGCCAGCATGACATCATAGGTTTTAGTGGAGAAATCTTTGTTAGGTTGGAAAGAATATGAGCTTGAGGTTATGAGGGATTTGGCTGACAATGTGGTTATTATATGTTCTATTGAGAACATTGATCCAATGGTGTTTATACTGGGGATTCAATCACATTTACTCCTGCACAAACTTTGACYRATAARGAGTACCAACGGCTTCGTGATTACTCTATAGCTATTATAAGAGAAATTGGAGCTGAATGTGGTGGTTCTAATGTACAATTTGTTGTGAATCMTGTGGATTGTGAGGTTATGGTTATTGAAATGAATCCTAGAGTTTCAAGGTCCTCTGCTTTGGCATCAAAAGCTACTGGTTTTCCTATTGGAAGTGCCTGATATCTAGCTTGGCATAGCTGTTGTTGTTGTTGTTGTTGTTGTTGTTGTTGTTACCGTTGCTGCTTACTACCTTTTCAATAAGAAACCTAAAGGTTCATCAAAATATCTCAATTTGAATCACTATTCTTCCATGATTGACCTTTTTTCTTTAATATCGATGGTATTAAAAATCTAATGACCCTCATAAAGGCAAGTGGCCTTGGTGCATCCGTGGTCATTTTTAAGTTTCCTTTTTTATCATGGGTTCCATCTAGTTATCTGCGAAATTGAAATATAAACTGGTGGTTGTCATTAATTAGGGTGCTTATATCCTGAAAATTTACCTACCTTTATTACTATATTAGTTGCCGGTATATCAAACTGCCCTCTCAATCAAAAATTACCTACCTTTATTACTCTTTTAGTTACTCTATACTTTGCTTGAAATTTTGATACACATTGAGTTTTGACATCAAAGGTCAATTTTCACTAAACTTGACATGAATTTGAAAATTCTCAAGGAAAAATTGATGATTATAATGAACCTTATAACATTTGGTACGAAGGGAAATCTTGGTTTTAACAGTAACAAATGCATATAAATTTTGAATTTGAAAGACAATACTTGATCTCAAAAATCAAAGTGTATCTTTGTTTGATCWGGAAACAGATGGTGTAGTAAAGATMTGTTTTTTACAATGAAGAATGGCATGTTTCCTTTTACCAATCAATGTGTTTGTTTTGTTCTTCATCCTTTAGGGGTAAGGATAGCCAAGGTGAAGAGGTTATTAAACCATACACACCAACCACTCTAGATGCCGATGTTGGATACTTTGAGTTGGTTATTAAGGTACATATCCAAAAATTATGTTTACAGTTGTCATTTTGTTTAATCTATGCATGTTTTGTCTTTATACAAATCATCATAATTTGTTGCGTAAATGTAGATGTATCCACAAGGTAGGATGTCCCACCATTCCCGAGAGATGCGTGAAGGTACATTAACTCTCCAATAATTATATATAATGTGTGAGTTTGTTGGCAAGAGTCCATTCATACTCTTGTCTTATTATCTACTCTCTCTCTCTCTATATATATATATATATATTGTTGTGTGTGTGTGTGTATTGTGCTTAAACTGTAATTAATAGATTTTGAAGGTATGTGGATTTCATGAACACCATAACTCAAGTGTTTATTGACTATACTTATTTGATGTGTATGTGCGTGTGTTTAGATATAGCAGCAACCTGAGGTCTAATTAACCATTCCCTGCTTAAGTAAGTTTCGTCATTTTTCATAACCATTTCTAATTAAGATCTCTAAATTAAGATATGAGTTTGGTTTAGTATATGAAATCCTCTAATATGTTGCTGCTGTCATTTGGTTCTATAGGTTCAGAATATGCTTTCCATTTCATCTTGTGAAAAGTAGTTGTGCTAAGTCATACTTGTTTACAACCTAATCGTGAAAAGGGGAGATGATGAGGGAACAATGARAGTCGGGAACAATGATGGAGGAGAAGTGACAGCCGAAAGGGGAGGAGGATGGGGAACAATGAGAGTCGGGAGCGGTGATGAGGGGGAGGAAAACCTAATCGTGAAAAGGGGCATGGTTGGAAGTGGATATCTGACCCGGGTAAGCATGATTTCCTATTTCTGGAAGAGATTGAGGAAATGCTCCTTCCGTGAGGGGCCTTTCATTCGGGTCGGGGGGGGGGGGGTGGACACTGCGAGGTGGGTGCGAAACTAAGTAGGGCCTTTTGAATTGAATATTAAGTAGTCTATCAGTGGTGCAAAGCTATGCTTTATCTGAAGGCACCTGTTTACATAGTTCACGACAACTTTCTCACTTTCGTGCTGTTTCGGTTCGTGATAGGTCAGCACCTTGATCAGTTCTCGGTCAGAATGGTATTTTGGTAAACAATCTGACT